GTTTTAGTTGATTCATGTTCTCGATGGCCTGAAGTTTTTATTTTAAAGAGCACAACTGCAGCAGTCATCATGAATCGCATGAAATCGTGCTTCGCTGTGCATGGTTTCCCAGAAGCAATCGTTACAGACAATGGACCTCAATTCGTGGCTGAAGAGTTTGATTTGTATCTTCGAGAGCACGGCATCACACACCGTCGTGTAACACTTTATTGGCCACAAGCCAATTCCGAAGTCGAACGGTTTAACCGCACACTCGAGAAGGCCATTCGCGCTGCAAATACCGAAGGAAAAGATTGGAAAAGCGAGCTCACCACCTTCCTACTCAATTACCGAGCAACAGCTCATTGCACTACTAGCAAATCACCCGCTGTTCTCTTGTTTGGTGGAGAGAGACGCACCAAGCTCCGGTCGTTGAACACTAGCCGTTCGCCAGCTTCAACGTCAGCTGTTGTCGACCCCGCCATTCTAGAGCGTGGTCGTTGTCAGAAAGCAAAGATGAAGAAGTATGCGGATGAGAAAAGACGTGCAGCACCTTCCAACATAAAGAGGGGTGACAAAGTTCTTTTGAAGCAAGAACGAAAGAATAAGTTATCCACAAAATATGACCCAGACCCATATATAGTGGTAGGAACGAAAGGCACAAGTTAACTTCTAAAGAGACAAGCCGAGCCAGAGATAATGAGGAATTCGTCAGCAGTTCGCAAATTGCCGCCGGAGGAAACAGATAGTCATCCACACGAAGCCAAACGGAAACCAGACGAAGTGGTCGATACAACAGCAAAGCCTAGACCCCAGCGACAGCGAAAACCTCCTGAATATCTTGGATATGAAAAGTGACATTCACACAGTCCGGAAGAGTAAGACAGTATACGAATTGACAGTTACAAACTCTGACAATTGATATTTAGTTTTGCATGTTTATGACGTTTGGTTAAGCATTTTCACGTAAAAGAGGGATGTAGTGTCTGTGACGTCACAGTCACGTGAAAAACACGAGGAGAGACAGAGTAGTGTTAGAGAGAGAGTATTGTAGTAAACGAGCGAGAGAATAAATCCTTACAGTTTGATAATATAAACACTATACCATTGGTCGAAATCGATACGCCTGTCAATCAAATCTGATATGTAGTAATTATGCTATAAATAATTTCCAGAATGAATGTTGATTTTATACAGGGTGTGTCAAAATAAAAGTAATCGAACGTCAGCGCGCTATTGTGTCTGAATTACTGCGTGTGAACGAGATTTCTTCATCTTTCGAAAGATCAGATTTTTGGCTGTTGAATGATATGTTCTTCATGTCAAATGGATAAAAAATAAGCAAGTACGAGTCTGATAAAAAATGCTAGTCAGAATCGCATATTTTCACCGTTGTAATATGCGATTCCGACAACATTGTTTTATCGGACTCGTACTTCCTTATTTTTCCCCCACCTGGCATGAAAAACATGTCATTCAACAGCTAAAAGCCTGATCTTTTCGAATATGAAAAAAATTTTCATACGCCGAGTAATTCAGGTACAATAGCGCGCTGAAGTTCGATTACCTTTTTTTATACATCCTGTAAATAAGCATGACATTAACGGTTTCTTATTGGATAGATTTAATTGGATATAGTAATGTTTATGCAAAGGCGGAGCCAATTTGACAAGAGCGAAAAGTGGGCGTATTTCGTTTCTTGATTGTTCTCGGCAGTCCCTCATTTCTTCGAGGGACTGCTCACGGTCTATTCTGTCAATATTATAACGAAAGTTCTTTAACTTTCGGTATAATATATCATTTATAGACCCTTCGCTCGGGGGATTCGGCGATATTTCCCTCAGTGATGATATTTTCCTCGGGGTAAAGCCCCTCGGAAAATATCATCACTCCGGGAAATATCACGCCGAATCCCCCTCGATCCGGGTCTATAAATGATAAATATCTGTGATATTTTAACTATTAGCTCCCGCTTAATAGAACACAATTGTTTTAAAGATTATACGTTTAAAGATAAATGTGATATAATAATACTTTCAAACACTCATTAATAATTCATAAGCCTATTGCCAAATCTTGTCAACCATAATATGTGACGTGCAGTGGCTCTAAACCTGATAAAACACTCCTAATTAGTATTCTTTATATAAAGAATACTAATAAAGCAGTATCTATTGTAGTCGTGTCCTCATTAGTATTCTTTATATAAAGAATATACTAATAAAGCAGGATATCTATTGAATTTGTAGTCGTGTTTGAAGCCGTTTAATCAATAAACTCGCAGGTCGTGTTTTATTAGGTCTAAAGCCACTCTCGCTGCGCGCTCGTGACTTTAAACCTAATAAAACACTCCAGCTCGTTTATTAATTAAACAGTACATAATAAATATAACATAATAATAATATAATCAATATAATAGGTAATTAACTTATTACTAACAACTGCATGATGTAACCGTTTTATTGTTTTGTCTTGTTTGAAAGTCATATTCTGGACTTTACTATTTATCTATAAATTGCGCATTCAGCATGGTGTGTCAATGGCTAATGTTCTTACACGTTTGGGTAAGGTAAAACTCCAAGCAATGAAAAGGGTTAGGATCAATTTAAGAATTATGGTTAAGATAAGAAGATGTGACTTCACGTTTTCATTGCCACTGTACATTAAATCTGATGGCAATATAATGTCAACATCATGCAGAAATCATTTCACTTACTGACACATGTTACACCATCACCACTATATCCTGGTTTACAAACACATGCGAATGAGCCAGGATAATTGTTACAATCGGCATTCACGTGGCAGCTTACTGTTAAACATTCGTTAATATCTAGAAAAAATAAACGGTGAAAGACGTCAACTATACTATTTCATAAAACATACTTAACAAAACATTATGAGCATATCATATATTGTCCAAACGGATGCCATGGGTTTCACTGTAGGACAAAATGAGATGAAAAGAAGATGTGGGGCGGTAGACATTTCAGAGAAAGTGAGAGACCCAAGGCTGAGATGGCATCAATACGTCATAAGAGATGAAGAAGAGCTGGACAGAGACACTGAAAAGATAAGATATGGGGTAGTAGACATTTCAGAGAAGATGAAGGAAAGCTTGACAAATATATTTGTGGATGAGATAAAAGTCCGTTAACAGGCAGTGGCGGTTTACAAAATTTCTGTTTATGAGGTGTTCCATTGCATAACTTCGCTAGGACATCACATTTACATTTCTACACCTTGCCTCTCTCAACTGGTCAAAGTCTGGGTCTTGTGGATTGTTTTTGGTAAGTACACTGCAATTTCCCACTGACCAGTGTATTATTATGCTTGTGATGTTACTCTGATTGTATATCCACACCGGGCAAGCTTGAAAAATGTTCCTGACCACGGTGGGAATCGAACCTACGACCTTTGGAATACTAGCCCAATGCTCTGCCAACTGAGCTACGCGGTCCGGTCGGTTCGAGTATGTGATATTTCGGAACAGAATCTAGTTCCTTCAATATCAATGTTATCTAATAATAATCATGATTGTGATAGGGCTAGTATACCAAAGGTCGTAGGTTCGATTCCCGCCGTGGTCAGGCACACTTTTTAAGCTTGTCCGGTGTGGATATACACTCAGAGTAACATCACAAGCATCATATTCACCTGAGTACATTACACCGACACAGAAAAAATCATGACAGTGTATTATTATATTTAATTTGGCTAATATGGAGCATCTAGCCCATCTTCATCAACAAAAAGTTGATGTCTACTATTTTATTCCTTACCATCACAACTTAAACCATCTCCGGTAAAACCTGGTTTGCAACGGCACTCATAACTTCCAATGGTATTTGCACAATCTGCATTTTCGTGACATGTACCTGATACCAAACATTCGTTGATATCTGAACAAAATTGAATTATATAACTGTTAAGAGAAAGAATCACGATTGATTGTGCGCGAGGCAAGCTATGATTGATAGACAACTACAATGCGCGCAATTCTCATGTGCAATCCATGTTCACACCTCAGCCAATACAATATATCTCACAGGAACAAGATTTGCATGCATGTATAAAGCATTTTAAATGGCCACCCTTGATTGTGAAATATCGTGTCATAAAGAAATTCAAATGACTAACAATCTTCTTAAATATCTCCCGAAAACGGTAGTGAGGAAAAAAAAAACTTTTTCAGTAAAGCGGTGATATGATCATTTGAACTAAACACTCGAAAATATTACCGGAACAATCATCCAATCCATTTCCTGAGTATCCAGGGCGGCAAATACAAGCAAATAATCCTGGTACATTGCTACATTCCGCGTTTATATTGCAAGAATTTGCTAGGCATTCATCATCTCTACATCAAAAGTTTCTCTACATCAAAGTTTCTCTACATCAAAGTTTCTCTACATCAAAGTTTCTCTACATCAAAGTTTCTCTACATCAAAGTTTCTCTATATCAAAAGTTTCTCTACATCAAAATTTCTCTACATCAAAGTTTCTCTACATCAAAGTTTCTCTACATCAAAAGTTTCTCTACATCAAAAGTTTCTCTACATCAAAAGTTTCTCTACATCAAAAGTTTCTCTATATCAAAGTTTCTCTACATCAAAAGTTTCTCTACATCAAAAGTTTCTCTACATCAAAAGTTTCTCTACATCAAAGTTTCTCTACATCAAACGTTTCTCTACATCAAAGTTTCTCTACATCAAAAGTTTCTCTACATCAAAAGTTTCTCTACATCAAAAGTTTCTCTACAACAAAAGTTTCTCTACATCAAAGTTTCTCTACATCAAAAGTTTCTCTACATCAAAGTTTCTCTACATCAAAAGTTTCTCTACATCAAAAGTTTCTCTACATCAGAAGTTTCTCTACATCAAAAGTTTCTCTACATCAAAAGTTTCTCTATATCAAAGTTTCTCTACATCAAAAGTTTCTCTACATCAAAAGTTTCTCTACATCAAAAGTTTCTCTACATCAAAAGTTTCTCTACATCAAAGTTTCTCTACATCAAAAGTTTCTCTACATCAAAAGTTTCTCTACATCAAAAGTTTCTCTACATCAAAAGTTTCTCTACATCAAAGTTTCTCTACATCAAAAGTTTGTCTAGATCAAAAGTTTGTCTACATCAAAAGTTTCTCTACATCAAAAGTTTGTCTACATCAAAAGTTTCTCTACATCAAAAGTTTCTCTACATCAAAGTTTCTCTACATCAAAGTTTCTCTACATCAAAGTTTCTCTACATCAAAGTTTCTCTACATCAAAAGTTTCTCTACATCAAAAGTTTCTCTACATCAAAAGTTTCTCTACATCAAAAGTTTCTCTACATCAAACGTTTCTCTACATCAAAAGTTTGTCTAGATCAAAAGTTTGTCTACATCAAAAGTTTCTCTACATCAAAAGTTTGTCTACATCAAAAGTTTCTCTACATCAAA